TAGATGGGGTAGAGAGAGAAGATGGGAGGGGAGGGGAGGGGGGATAGTAGAGGATAGGAAAGGTAGCAGAATACAACAGTTACTATTATGGCATTATGTAAAAATGTGGATGTGTAACCGATGTGATTCTGCAATCTTTGTAATGTTTTGAATAACCAATAAAAAAGTAAATTAATTTTTTTGCCATACTCGGCATTGAACCCAGGTATATTCTACCAACTGAGCTACATCCCCAACCCTTTTTAGTATTTTTATTTTGTTTTTCTTTTTGAAACAGGATCTCAGCTAAGTTGCTGAGGCTGGTTTGAACTTGTGATCCTTCTGCCTCAGCCTCTGAGTAGCTGGGATTATAGACATGCACCACGGTGCCTCACTTATTTTAGTGGTTTTTATTATCTCTGGAGTTATAAAAAATTTTTTTGACAAAGCTCCCACAATTTTCCTTAATTTCTCTGTCACTGCAAAAAAGAATGATAGAAATTTTTGAATGAATACATGCCTAGTTGTTTCTAACTTTCTTTCTTAATTATACATGGATTTCCTCTGTTCTCTGGGTAATTCACACAGTTTTTTTGGTATTTTCATATCATCCTTTGTTCAGAGGGTACTGGATAGGGTCAATACCACTCACTTCATCTACTCCCAGCGAGGGAATAGTAAAGCCTTATTCTCATAAGGCCCCAGAGGGATAAAGATGCTCTGAGACCTGGCTTGTGGGTCTTGTCAACTCAAGAAAGGTGTGAGAGTTAAGGGGTTTAAAATTTATTTTACTGAAGACTCTGTTGTTGAAAAAGAAAGATTTCTTGAATGTCAAAGAAAAATTCAGTGCTGATAGTTGTAAAACAGGGAAACTAATCACATCTGTGGAGTACATTTTTTTCACCTCTGCTACCTTATAAGGTTTTAATTTGTGTTCTTTGTGAAGGAGATGTTTCTGGGGGAGATAAATCCAAGAAAGGGGTAAAGCGGAAGAAGATTTCAGAAGAGAGTGGAGAGACTGCAAAGCGGAGATCTGCCCGTGTCCGAAACACCAAGTGTAAAAAAGAAGAGAAAGTGGACTTCCAGGAGCTTCTGGTGAAATTCTTGCCATCCAGGTATTGTGCACAATTTTTCTGTTTGACAAAACAGTATATGCACAAACTGCCACCCTATACCCTCAGTAATATTTCTTATTGAATCACCATCCTTTCTTCTGGGTACCTCCTTTGTTTTCCTTTAACATCTGTGCAAATATCCATAGTATACATCATACTGGACCAAGATCTTGGATTTTCTTGCCTCTTCCTGCCTCTGAACTTCCTAAGGTAGAAGGTGTGACTTGTTAATCTTTTGAGGACTGGGTACTTCTAGGGAGCTAAAGACAACACATAATTTTGTTAATCAGCTTTCTGACACTATGACAGAGTGCCTAAGATTAAGGGGTTGGGATTATAGCTCAGTGGTAGAGCGCTTGCCTAGCACATGTGAGGCACTGGGTTCAATCCTCAGCACCACATTAAAATAAATACCTACATCTATAACTAAAAAAATGTTTTTAAAAAATCAGCTTAAAAGGTTTATTATTGGCTCATGATTTCAGAGGTTTTAGTCTTTGGTTGCTTAGACCTTTTATCTTTGGGCCTGTGGTGAGGCATGTCATGTTGGAAGCAACTGGTCCCTATCCCTAAAGTGTTCACCAACTCCCAATAGCTCCAATCAGCCATAGAGGGAGCCTTCAATACACAAGTTTTGGGGGGACATTTAAGGTCCAAACCATAACACATGTCCTGTGCGCCCACAGATATCTGCTTATTGCTGAGAGCCTGGGGCCACAGTGCCTTACTTAGATGTAAATGCTTGTCAAACCCCATTTGAAAGGACTTCTTTCAGGGAGCAAACCCTATTTGAAAGGAGCTTCTTTCAGGGAGTGGGTGCTTACTTGATTTTCTCCAGGTTCAGCAATATTCCCTTGTTTTCTGAGAAGGTAGAAGAGGAGCTTGTAAGGTATTCCTTGGTTTCACTGGTTCTTAGTGTTCCTCAGAGAAACCTAGGGGAGGAGAAAGTGCCAAGTTCTCTAGAGCTGGGAGGGACCTGGGCTCCACTGCTCCCTATATAATAGATATCTCACCAGTCCTACTTTTTTTTTTTTTGTTCTTACTCGATCACCTTCAGAGGCTTCAAGGCCCTGTATTTCTGAGCCTTCCCAGGGTTTATTGTGCCAGTAAGCAGGCTTCTTGATAACTCCTTTCCTCTACCTTTAGCTGAGTGGAGAAAGCATTTAGTCACTTTAGTCTATCTTTCTGCCTTCTAACATCTGTTTGGCACATCTTTTTTCTGTAGGGCTTCCTTTCATATCTCCTGTATCTTTTTGTGTTCATAACCTTTCTTATTCCTTCATGGTTACTGGAATGGAGTTTGGGAGGTAACTATGTATAGTATGCCATCTGACCAGGAGTTTTCAGCTGTCATTTTGTCTTGCGACAGTTTCAGTGGCAATTTCATCAAAGTCCAGAAGGAATAGCCAGAAGCTTTAGGAGAATTATAAATCTGTTTTACAGCAGGATTCCTAATTTTACTAACTTGTTGCCTTTCTGTGGTGAAAGTGAAATGCTTCAAATAAAGGTTAATCTCAGCATGCAGTTAATGTGGACCAAGGTGAGGATATAGTTTGTTCTGATAAATTTCTTCTGAGGTATGATACCAAAAGATTTCTCCTTGGAAGAGCTGCAGGATTTAAACTTTGGTAGAGTGACCGCCAACTTCCCCTTAACCATGCTGTTCTACCTTGAGAACTTGCTACCCAGCCCCCTTTATGTGGAATGGTTTCTACTTTATTTCAGTTGTTGGTCTTCTGTAAGGTTTTAGTGTTCACTTCCTTGAATTTTCAGGCAACAATATGGAAGCTTGCTCAATAGATTCTCTCTGGGAGTGTGCAATAAGTGAGCGAACACATTTACAAGTGTACTGAGTATTTATGCTGTAAAAATGCTGGCTTGAGATAAAGCCACAAAGATAGCCAAGGCATGATACCTGAGAGCAGTTTGAAAGAATGATTTCTCCTGGGAGAGGTCTCTCTAATCCCAAGATTGGGCCAGGCCCAGAGGCCCAGAACCAAGCTCAGAAGGGCCTGATGTACCCGCCACGTTCTCACCCACACACTTTTTTCTTGTTTGCCAGACATCTTCCTCCCTGCAGGGTGTAGAACATATCTAATTTCATCCAGCCTGTGGCTTTGTGCCTGCTTTTTTGCTAGCCCTTCTCTATTGTCAGCCTGAATGATCTTGTTCTCTGTTTCAAGCACTCTGTTGTGGTTGGTCCCTATCTAGGTTGATTATATTTGTGTTTTTTGTCTGTTTCTCCTATTAGAAGATAAACTTCCTGCAGGCAGGCTGTATTCTGGCACCTAGTACCATGCTGGGCACATGGCTGATACAGAGCAATCATCTGTTGATGGATAAATGAATGAGTGAGACCAGACACCAGCTCACAAAATCCTGGAGAGAGGCAGAACTACCTGGAGGCTTGGACCTTGCCACTCACTTATTTTAGTCTACTTCACCCTGTCTCTGATTTAGTTTTTCTTAATAGGAAAAATTCAGATGCTTATATCAGAATGAGTGATGACTTTAGTAACTTTGACACATTCCATGCAGGTTAAGAAAGCTGGACCCTGAGGAGGAAGATGATCCCTTTAATAACTATGAAGTCCAATCAGAAGCCAAACTGGAAAACTTCTCAAGCATGGGGCCTCATCGACTGTCCTTTGACTCGGCCACATTCATGGAATCTGGTAAGAATTAGCAATATGGTTAATCACTGCTGGAAATTCTTCCTCAAATTATCCTATAACCTGCCTATGTTTTATTCTGGGAAGATGGTTTGGGGAGGTTTTTTAAGCTTTGATCGAAGAGCTACCTGGATTTGCTTGGGCCTGAGCCCTGTGGCTAACTGGTAGGTCTATTGAAATGTTCAGGCTTATACTTGCTGTGCTCCTTGAAAGCTGTGTGCTCCCTGAAGGCTGAATTCAGAGACTTGGCTTTGCAACTTGAATCTATATGACCACAGCTGTTGAATGCATATTATGTGCCAGACACTGTGCAATACTGTATGTGCATTATCTCATTAAGCATACAAAGCAGCATTTGGAAGTCCTTTTGATGCCCACCTTAGACATGGTGACTATTATTATTTTTTTTAAGAGAGAGAGAGAGAGAATTTTTTAATATTTATTTTTTAGTTTTCAGCGGACACAACATCTTTGTTTGTATGTGGTGCTGAGGATAGAACCCCAGGCCGCACGCATGCCAGGCGAGCGCGCTACCGCTTGAGCCACATCCCCAGCCCTAGACATGGTGATTATGAGAGGCTTGCTCACAACTGATGAGGGCTGGAGCCAGGCACTGAACCCCAATAGCCTGACCTCAGCACTGCAACTTGATACCATGTTTACCTGCATTGAGTGGTGGAGGAGGGCACAGGTTCTCCTCTTTTAAAGAGAATAGGAGACTAGACATAGGAGGTCCCCTTCATCCAGGTCAGGTTGTTCTCTTTCTCTGGGCAGAGAAGCAGGATGTACATGAGTTCCTACTGGAGAACCTGACCAATGGGGGCATTCTGGAGTTGATGATGCGCTACCTGAAGGGCATGGGCCACAAGTTCCTGCTGAGGTGGCCACCAGGCCTGGCAGAGGTTGTGCTCAGCGTCTACCACAGCTGGAGGAGGCACAGCACCAGCCTGCCCAACCCACTGCTAAGAGACTGCAGCAACAAGCACATCAAGGTCAGGGGCCTCTCTATGGCCAGCATCATAGTGGCACCAGGGGACAGAGACAGGGATCTTCTGTGGGTATATGGCTGATATGTTTAGTCCACTTATTGCATCTACTTATGTGCCTGAAACCTAGACCCCTAAGGAGTTTAAAGTAGGAAATCAAAGGACTAACCTGGCTTGTGTCCAGAAAGACCTCTAGTGACTGAGTAGAGGATAAACTGGGATAAAAGTGGGTTCAGGGAGCCAGCAGGAGATTGCTGCCAGCTGAGCAATGTTGGTGGCTGATATCAGTAGTGACAGTGGAATCAGGATTCTTTTTTTATTTTTTGTACCGGGATTAAACTCAGGGGCACTCAACCACTGAGTTGCATTCCCGGCCCTTCTTTGTATTTTATTAGAGACAGGGTCTCACTGAGTTGCTTAGTGCCTCACTGTTGGTGAGGCTGCCTTTGAACTCCAGATCCTCCTACCTCAGCCTTCTGAGCCGCTAGGATCACAGGCGTTTGTCACCATACCAGGCAGAATCAGGATTCTGAAGACAGAACTGACAGGATAAATTGAGTATGGATGTGAGAGAATGTGAGTCATAGCAAGGGCTTCTAGTGTCATTTACTGAGATAAGCAAGTTAGCTGGGTAAAGCTTGAGGACCTTGAACACACAAGCATTTGAATGTTCAAGGTGTGAGGGACTCACTAATTTTTTTTAACTTGTAGGAAAACAGAAGTACAGAGGCTAAGTCAGTAGCTTAGGGAAGTGGTGGAGCCTCCAGCAGTTGTACGGAGTCTTGTTCAGCCTTGTCTACTGACTGCACTCTGTACCCCAGGCTCCTCCATTAGTTGCCTCCCAGAGCTCAAGGGAGCACAGGATACTCAGGCCTCCTCCCATTGGAGGTGTTATGCAAGTATCAAGGTGGGAGCATGGGGAGCTATTAGGGCCTGCCCATGTGATCTTTCTGGCTGAGGGTCAAGTTGGAGGAACATGTGGGTCATCACTCCCTTGCTGGGCAAACCCCACTGCAATACCTCAGGGACTCCCTCCTGGCAGCTTTTGTGCATCAGGCTTTCTGCTAGGAATGGTGTGGAGCAGCAAGAGCCAAGGCTTTGATCTCCAGGCAAACCAAGTTAATTTCTAACAGTGCGTACTGGCAGGTACCTCCTTGTCACTGAGTTCCAGCTTCCCTGAGTGCTCTGGAAATGATGCATTGACCTCCCAAGGAACTTTAAAGGCTTCAGTGGATACAGTGTCTGGCCTGGCATGTGGCAGGTGAATGACATCCTCTTCTTCAGGATGGTCCCTCAGGACTCTGATGGCAGGTCTTTTGTCCTTCCCAAGATTTATCTCAGTGTAGATCCATGTGCCTTTTTTTTTAGCAAGTAGCCACTGATTAACATTTTAGGAAATGGAAAGTAGGTAGAAGAATTATTTTTTTACCCCAGAAGTAAATTTTAGTTTAGTTTCCTCCCTACTCCCCATACTTAGGTGAATCTTTGAGACTTTGTTCCTGCCTTTCCTGTACCTTTCCTGCAGGATATGATGCTTATGTCTCTTTCCTGCATGGAGCTCCAATTGGACCAGTGGCTGTTGACCAAAGGCAGAAGCTCTGCAGGTAGGAGACATCTATGTTCTGTGGTGGGGTGATTTTCTGAACTCAGCAGGCTGGAGGAAGCTGAAATGGAGAGGCTGAGTCATGGAATTCATACTTATATTCATGTGGGCACATTTTCTGGGTTGGCTCATTAAGGTCACAGACCAGTTCCAAAATCCCAGAGAAATCTCCCTGACTTCAAGGAGTAGTTAGCAGCAGCTCAGCCTTCAGAGGGAGCCATCTGCCTCCCTTAGGTATTCCTCGGGATTAAAGGGAGCAGGATCTCAGTTTTGGAGTACTGCTCAATGCTCTTTGTTTCCCCAGTGAATTTCCCAGGTGATAATATATGATTATTCTGACTTTTAAACTACCACTTAAACTGGGCACAATGGAGCATGCATACAATTCCAGCTACTTTACAGGATGAGGCAGGAGGCTTACAAGTTTGAGGCCAGCCTGGAAAACTTAGCAAGATTCTTTCTCAAAATTAAAAAATTAAAAGGGATGGAGATATAGCTCAGTAGTAGAGCACTTGATCAGAATGTGTGAGGCCCAGGGTTCAGTCTCCAGTACCATAGTAATACATAAATAAATAACAAATTTCCATCTGTAGAATGCAGAGGGGGTTAGAGTACCCAAAAAGACTAAGAGCAGATGTGGTAAAGGCTGAGGGTGACCTCTGGGAGCCGAAGGGCATTTGGATCCTGCATATGAATGTGACTTTCTGGCCTGATGGTTTTCAGTGTCTCCTCGTAACTGCCCTGCTGGTATGGTGAATGGCAGATTTGGGCCTGACTTCCCAGGAACCCACTGCCTGGGTGACCTCCTGCAGTTGTCATTTGCCTCATCCCAGCGTGACCTGTTTGAGGATGGCTGGCTAGAGTTTGTGGTCCGTGTTTATTGGCTGAAGGCTCGTTTCTTGGCACTGCAGGTTGGTTCTCTAGTCAGTTGCTATGTGAGTGCATGCATGTATGCATAGTACCTATCTAGGCACTGGGTTTGACATGAAGAAATGGGAATGGTTGGGAATTTTAAGCTTGTCAGAAATCCAAGCATGGCCACCAGTTTGTAAAATACCTCAGCATATCCACAGAACTCTACAAGGGATCTACTGTGCCTCATTTTTATTATTATTTTTTCCTGTGGTTGATCTTTATGTTTTCCTGACAAAGCTTTAGCAAGTACATGAATAGAAGCAGTATTTTCTAGAAGGGAACTCTCCACCTATTTTGTAAGAGTTCTGGGAAGGCCAGGGTGGATTGGCGCTGTTACCTAGTACCCAGTGCTGGGTGGTACATGGTGCACTGTGGTAGAACAAGCCATAGATTACTAAGGTTGCAGCAGCAGCAGTTCAGTTTGAGGGAAGTATCATTGTTTAATATGAAGAATGTCACTTCTAGAATTAGGGCAGGCCTAGGTTCTAATCCTGGTTCTGCCATGTACCTAGCTTTGCCTAAGTATTATTCACTTATAATGAAGGGTTAATGATACTTCTCCTCTTAGAATTGTGGTATGGATCATTCTTTTTTTCAAGCATTTAGTAAATATTTGTTGAGCCCCAGCTGTGTGCCAGACCCTTTTAGGGGAGTAGAGCTGTAATTGGATTAAAACTCTGCTCTGAGAGCACCCATTGTCCATTGAGATCAGGAATGTGAAGAACCTGGCACATCATGACAGTTCCCTGACTTTTGCCCCTGTTTCTTGATTTGGTTTTCCTTTTAACTAGGGAGACATGGAGCAGGCTCTGGAGAACTATGACATCTGCACAGAAATGCTCCAGAGTTCCATTGCCATCCAAGCAGAGGCAGGGGCTGAGCAAAGGGACATTGTTATCCGGCTGCCCAACCTCCACAATGACTCCATCGTTTCCCTGGAGGAGGTGAGTAGGAGTTTTTAATAGTGTTTTCTTAGTCAAAAGATTTATTCTGAGTTGACCGAGTTAGACCAGACCTGACCTGTCCCTGAAGAAGAAGAGAACCTCCTGCATGCTAAGCAGGGCTCTTGAAGAGAGGGCAGGAGAGGCCTAGGAGAGGTAGTTCTGGCTTGCCCAGTGGCAGATATGGAATTTTCTGCTAGCATAATTTTGTTAAATTATGTTCAGTTCCCCTGACTGTGTGTGGTGGCAATTCTAGCAGAGCTAGAGGGAAGTGTCAGCTGATGAAGATAATTGTTGATATGCCCATGAGGGTGGAATAGTGGTGCCTAGCACACATGCTAGATAGACTCCACTTAAATGGCACTCTTTTTTTKTGTGTGTGTGCAACCTTAGTCCTGTTGCAGTTCCACATCTATAATGTCCACCTTGTCTGAAAGTAGCCTGTAGACTCTTCAAGGTTGTTTTCAGGGCAAGTCCAGTTCCCTGACTTTTGCCCCTGTTTCTTGATTTGGTTTTCCTTCTAACTAGGGAGACATGGAACAGGCTCTGGAGAACTATGACAGTGCCCTCCTTCCTGTGTACTGAAACTGCATCAGGCCATATAAAGAAATGGTTCTATGGGTTAGTTATGAGTGCCTAATCTTCCTAGGTCTGGCAGCCTGACACTGTAGTTCTGAAAATCTGGTTTGCTGAACTGTGACCACAAGGTTGTCTTTTTTTTTTTTTTTTTTTTGTATTGAGGATTGAACCCAAGGACATTTAATCACTGAGCCACATTCCCAGACCCTTTTTAATAATTTATTTAGAGACAGGATCTTGCTGAATTGCTTAGGGCCTCACTAAGTTGCTGAGGCTTTGAAGTCATGATCCTCCTGTCTCAGCCTCCCAAGCTGCTGGAATTACAGGCATTTACCATTGTGCCTGCCCACAAGGCTATCTTGACTATTATGGTAGATGTTGTTCTGGAACCCCTCTGCTTCTGTGGTGGTTTTGGGGTTTGGGTATATTTTTTTATTAAAGAACTAAATGACTTGACCTTAATATAAATACTTTAAAAAAGCACATATATTTATGTGAACACTCATATTATTTTTTGGCTTGAGTTGAGGGTAGGGGACAACATCTAATTTATCCTCATCTGGATGTGATAAATGGAAACACTGACTAGATTCTGGGAGGGTGTGAAGGGTTTACCATCAGACAACATCTTTGGACCTTTTTCAGATTGATAAGAACCTGAAGTCACTAGAACGGTGCCAGTCCCTGGAGGAGATTCAGCGGCTTTATGAGGCAGGTGACTACAAAGCTGTTGTGCATCTGCTCCGCCCCACTTTGTGCACCAGTGGGTTTGACCGGGCCAAACATCTAGAATTTATGACTTCTATTCCTGAGAGGCCAGCCCAGTTGCTTCTGCTACAGGTTTGTGCTCCCTGTCTATATTTCTCACCTTTGCTTGTGCATGTGTGTGTTCTCTGGAGGCTCTGAAGTAGCCCTTGAGAACACATACTTAGAAAAGTGGGAGTCCAAACTATTAAACCTGGCTCTATGAAAATGTTCGTCAGAAGATGTTCAAAACTGGGGGAATATTAGAATCTAGGAATGCAGGTTCTAGAGTTCTTTGTGGCGCACAAAGTTTTGTTTTTAATTTAACTTTTTTATTTGTTTTAATTAGTTATACATAGCCGTTTAATGCATTTATTTACTTTGATATATCATACAAATATTCCATTGAATATATATATATATATATATATATACATACACACACACACATACACACACATATGCATATATATATGTATGTGTGTGTGTGTGTGTGTGTGTGTATATATATATATATATATATATATGCATATCACATTTTCTTTATCCATTCATCTGTTGAAGGACACCTAGGTTGGTTCCATAGTTTAGCTATTGTAAATTGAGCTTCAATAGCTATTGTAAATTGAGCTTCTATAAATATTGATGTGATTTCATTACTTCAGTATGCTGATTTTAAGTCCTTTGGGTATAAACCGAGGAGGGGGATAGTTGTGTCAAATGGTGGTTCCATTACCAGTTTTCTGAGGAATCTCATACTGCTTTCCACAGTGGTTGTACCAATTTGCAATGTATGAGTTTACCTTTCTCCTCATATCCTCATTAATATTTATTGTTGCCTATATTCTTGATGATTGCCATTTAGAGACTCTGAACTTTTATATGGCAGAGGAAGAAAGAAATGTCAGAATGGTATCCATCCATCCACCTATTTATTCATCCATCTTTGCTTTTGTGCTCTTTAACTGTTGAATAGATATAAAATTGATAAAATACCTGTACAGTGTAAAGAATCAAGATAAAATAAAGATCTGTGTACAACTGCATAGTTGAAGAAAAAGAATTGCAACATCTTGTCTGCACATGCCCTCTGGTAGCTCCCTTCATACCTCTGTTCTTTAGGAAGAAAATCATTTTGGAACCCACCAGGGAGCCAGCAGTTGCCTTAGAGAGTTAACTACTCAACTCTCTGAGCCTCAGTTCCTCATTACTAGGATTGGGGTGGCAAGTTTTCTTACCTCAGGCCTGCCATGAGGATTATGCAAGCTAATGTGTGTTAGAACAGGGCCTGGCACATAGCAGGTACCATGGAGGTGCCTCTGTCATTAGTGCCACCAAACTCTATGCCTAATTGGACAGAGGGACAAACATGGACAATAGTAATGTATTTGGTGGCATTGACTGGTCTGGAATCCTGGTCCTTTATGGTTTGTACCACTAATCACATTGTGTATATTATATTATTGGATTCTTACCTCTTAATTTGGAAAGAGACAACAGTCTTATCCCAGCTTTTTGTTCAGATTACATGTGGCATTTCAGTCATTAACTTTCTTGAACTAGGAAGGAATTAAGAGGTGCAACTATGGGCAAAAATCAGGCAGCAAAGCCCTGGTGAAAAGGGAGGAAAGAGTTGGCTTAGGGAGGGAAAACAGGGAATGGGGAGGCAGACTGTAGATCCTGGCTAAGGAGGTCAGGCAGAACCAAGCTGAGATTAGGAAATGAGATGTATCTGACCTAAGTTATCATAGCAGGCTATTGGGTGGCCCAGCATGGTAGTGTGTGGGAGGGACAGAGGAGTGTTACCCCAGGATGGCTGTGGGGGGAAGAGGCCAGCTCTGTCTGTGTCCCTGTCGGATGTTCCCATTGTTTCTATGTCTTACTCTTGTGGTCATTGTAATCACCTACTGAATGTGGTAGGAAGCTCCACATTCTTTAGGAAGAATTGATGTGGATGGGTGAGTCACTGTTTGAATAGACACTGAATAGTGTTAAGGACTATACCTTAGGACTGTGCCACATGCAGTAGAAGCTCCTGAATTTTGTGAATAAATGATTACTGATCGTTGCTATTTCATGTTGAGAGAGTGTTTTTTTGTTTGGTTAGTTTTTTTGTTTTGTTTTGTTTTTTAGTTTCAGTTATTCAGAAGACAAAGACTATTATCAACTAACTTTTACAAATAATTGAAGAATGTTGTCTAAGCAATTTCAATGTAGAGGGAATCTTTTGAAGAAAATATGGAATGAAAAATATATGGATTGCATATCTGTCCTCTAAGTTGGATGCTAACAGTAGTTAGGAATGAGGCCCTATAGAATAAGATAAGTACATAAAGTAGGTAGGAATTACAAAAACAAAACAAAACACGTGAACAGTACATAAACTAGCTCAACAGGCGTTTTGTTTGTTTTTTTGCAGTATTAGGATTAAACCCACATGCTATGCAAGGGCTCTATCACTGAGCTACACTCCAACCCTAGAGTGCTTATCTACCTAATCTGATATTAATTTTTTTTCTATCATATCTTTCAAATATTTTTGCTAGTATGTTGTTTGCTTGTAAATTGTGATTTTTATTGTTTTTTGTTTGTTTCTACATATAAAAGTTTTGGATTTTTATGTGGTCAGATCTTTCAATGTTCTCAAATGTTTGTGATTTTGTTAATTGTGTTTTTTGTTCGTTTTGCTTAAACAGGCTTTTCCAGACTGGGAAAAAAAAAATACTTATCTACTTTTTTAACACACATGGCTTGATTTCCTACCTACAGGGTGCCTGATACTGGACAAGAGGCAGGCAGTTTTGAGGGAGCCCATGTTCTAGAGGGGAGGCAGGCAAAGGATATACCACCAGAGATAAAAAATTTATTTGTCCTTGTTTTCTTCTAGCAATGTTCATCTTTTGTTTTGTAAGTTTACTTACTTCCTTTGATTTCTCTGGAGTTGGGAGTTGAATTTAGAACCCTTGGCCATTAGGGTGGGAGGGTTGTCTCCCAATTTAGGCAAGCTGCTTTTACATCCCTCAGTATAATTTTTTTCTTGATGAGTTGATCTCTAGATCTTAGTATTTTGGGTTGCTATTTTGAGAAGTATCTTTTTGTTGGGTATTATACTTCCTAACTGTACATTGCTGGTTTATAGGAACCCTACTAACTTTTGCCTGTTTTTTGAATCCAACTGATTACTGAATTACCATTATTTCTGATTGTTTTTTTACTCATTTTATTTAGATAGACAGTTGTTTTGCTCACAGTCAATAATAGTTTGTGTTCCACATTTGTTGACACTTAAATTCTTTCTTGCCTTGAGCCCTGGGGATTGTATCATATTAAGGCACTCCTAATGGATTTTTGTCTTGTCCCTAACTTTTACCACAATCTGACTACAGTTTAAGGCCAGAGTCTTTATCTGCCCTTTTATGCTCAGTGATTTGACCAGGAGGAGTCAACTCTGGTTTTAGACCCCATAGCTACTTCATAGGTGCTTCTTGCCTCAGTGGCCTTTGGCTCAGCCAGTTTTCTCTAAAGAAATACAGACTCCATTTTCCTAGCAGTTAGGGCTAAGTTTGGGAGGTTTTGATGTTTGTTCAAACATTGCAGCACATTTCAAATGCAGTTTGGGTATTTCTGCTCCTGTCAATGTCACTTCAGAGAGTTGTGGCTACCCATGTCAAGGCAGGAAGGAGCTACTGCTGGGCCTGGGCTGTGGGGATGTCAGATCCCAATGGGGCATCAGGTACAAGCACTTCCTGCTGGTCTAACAAGTAGTCCGCCAGATCTGTGAATTCACAGACAGACTATATTTCCCCGTGTACCAGCCAGTGATAAAAGAACCTAAAATTCCCAGGAGTTTAAATAGGTTGTATTCTAGGGCCCTGGGCAGAGGGGAGCTTTGCAAAAAGTGATAGCTCCCAGAGAGATTTTTAAAATAGAAATAACATTTCTGTGTGGTGTCCTGAGAGCTCTTTCATGGGCACATAAACGCATTCACTGAATACTCATGGTACCTCCAAGGGGGTGATGCAGGGCTGAGGCTGAGAAGGACTCAGCACCTTGGCCCTGCCTGGCATTGGGGACGAGGGGCCTCATAGAACAATAACTTCAGCACTGTCTGACCAGTTGTCTCTGCTGTGGCTTTAGCTCAGGTCCTCCTCTACTGAAACAGTTCTTCTCCAGCAGCCCGCCCCTCTTCTGCTGAGTCCCCTCCAGAGCTCTGGCACCAAAGGGACATGATAATGATGCCTTAGGGAAGAGCTGATGGAGCTGTTTCCCTCAGTTTCATGTTGACCAGTTGCCAACTGTGTGGTCTCATTCCTAGGATCCCTCTTTTATAAATGGGGAAAATGAGTCAGAGAGGCAAAGTGCCTTTTTGAAAGTCCCCTGGCTTGTGACAATTATATTGGCATTGCACATAGGTCACTGTCTTCCTTCTTAGATGCCTGAAGGCTGTGTAGACCTGTGTAGGCACTGGGGACCTTTTTCTCTTTTGTACTGTCCCTCATCTTTTTATCTCGGCTCTTCCCGTCTCAGGTTTGAGACCAAGGTGTGCTGAGCTTACAGTGCACCTTTCATCTCCCTTTTCCCTATGCTCAGGACTCCTTGCTCCGGCTGAAGGATCACCAGCAGTGTTTTGAATGCTCTGATGTGGCTCTGAACGAAGCTGTCCAACAGATGGTGAATTCAAGTGAGGCTGCAGCCAAGGAGGAGTGGGTAGCCACAGTGACCCAGCTGCTACTGGGCATTGAGCAGGCACTCTCTGCCGACAGCAGTGGCAACATCCTGAAGGAATCATCCTCCACCACTGGCCTTGTCCGGCTCACCAATAACCTCATTCAGGTAACCCCTATTTCCTTCATTCTCTTCCCTGGCTCAGCAAGTGTGTCAATTTGATGCCTCCTTCACTGTGAACTAGGGACCTCAAAGAGGATGAATTGCCCTCACTGGCAGACAATTTGGGGATCTGAGATTGTGTGCAAATCTCCCTGGGTCTGGGAATTAGAGTCAATGTAGTATTTGGCAGGATGGAATTCTCCCAGACCACCAGTCCTGGAGAGAGAAAACAGGCTCAGAACAGGGCCTAGTCTGTTTGCAGTGAGCCAGAGGCAGAATGGAGATAAAAGTCTAAGCCTCTTGACTTCCTGTCAGGACTCTCTACCACCCATGTTGCTGTGGCGCTTCTACCTAAAAGATAACCACAGCACCCCATATCATCCAGGCAGAGAACCTTCCTCTGAAACATCCTCAGCTCTCTCCTTAACTTCCACTCAAGCCATCTGCAAGTCCTGCCAACCCCACATTCTTTGCATCTCTTTCTTTTGTTTCTCCCTTCATCTTCCTTGTTCTGTCATAGCCTAGGCACTGTCACTTCTTACATGAACTATGACAGCACCCTATGGTGGTGCTTATCTTTCTACCCTTCCAGCCCAACTACCATCCTACCACAGAGGCCTTTTTCCAAAACTGAAATATGAATGTTTTTCTCCCCTTGCTTAAAACCCTTCACATTTCCCTCTGGGTGGTGTGCTGCTCAGGATGCATTGATACTGTCTCTCTCTCCCCTCTTCTATTTCCTTGGCAGCAGCCATTCTGGCCACCCCTAGGGCCCCATCTATATGTCTGCCCTCTAGGTATTGGGCATAGCCATTCACCTGGAAACTTCCTTTAAAGGGCTCACCTCTGCCTGCCCTACCCCTCCTTTGCAACTCCCTGTTGCTGCATTTGCTCTCATTAGCATTCAGGTAGCTTATCCATAGGTTTCTTCCCCCAGGCCATTAGCTCATCATGCCACATTCAGTAATTGCACATGGCATGAGGAAGAATGCTGTGACTTGATCACTGGGTACTCTGAGACTTTGATGCGTTACTGGGGTGCTACTAGGTCAGTGTTCTCACACCAGAGTTGTGAGGGTGGGCAGGCCTCATGCCCTAGATCTCCTAGTGGGTACTGCAATGGAGACTTATTTCAGGTGGGTGGGGAATAGAACTGGCCACACTCTGATACCCCTGGTGCCCCCTGCCAGGTCATCGACTGCAGCATGGCTGTGCAGGAAGAGCCCAAGGAGCCCCATGTCTCCTCAGTGCTACCCTGGATCATCCTGCACAGGATTATCTGGCAGGAAGAGGATACCTTCCGTTCCCTGTGCCACCAGCAGCAGCTTCAGAATCCAGTAGAGGAAGGTGCACTGGCAACAGGTTTGATGGGGCTGGGCCTTGACCCATGGTGTCCTTGCCCCGACCTCTATCTTAGGGTCTCAAGGCCCTACCCAGGTACTCCGAGTTGGCTTGGGTTTCAGTGTGACAGGATTTCTCACGGCACTCGGAGACAGAAACTTCCCTGTTTCTTCCCTCAGAAAGCTCACTGTGCAGTAAATATGGGAAGCATGAATGTATGATGTGTTGCATGTCTGGTGCATGTGGCAGCATGGAGGGAATGACAGCAAGGCCAGTGCTTTAAGGAGTGCCTTGAAGTGTCTCATACTGCTAGCTCCTTTAATCCCATAGTAGCCCCAGAATGGGAAGCCAAAAGGGCAAGCAAAGGTTCCACATTCTAGCTGTCATTTCTTGGCTGTGCGATGTGACCTTTGGCAGTTCATATAACCTCAGCTTCTATTTTCCCTTATTTATACTGGGAATAATGGCAGCTACCTCAGAGGTTTGTTCTAGGAACAGACTGAAATAAAACCATGAAGCACCATAGCAAATTAGTACCTAGAGTGTCATAGGTGCTGAGTAGTGAGTAGTCATGAATTGAGAACCTGAAGAAGACAAGCTAGGACCGGTGATGGAGATGGCACTTGAACTATGGTCAATATGGGTAGAAAATGTGCTGAATTAAAGGAACTATATCACAACACCTAGTTGACACCTAAAGCAATCATTGCTGTAATCCTGCTTTTTTTTTTTTATTTTTTTATTCAGTTTGCTGTCCAGCCTATGCTTATATACATCTATTTGTTAGTATATATAATATACATATTTATATATTTATTTAACTAACAAAATTAAGTTTACTGAGAAGTTTTTCCTCAGTCATTTATAAAATAAGAAATGTGGAGAGGAAAGAAACGCATCCCTTTTTCACCTGAACAGAGAAAACTAGAATTAACATGTCTCCTTAATTAATTTATCTCCTTTTACTCCTTGTCTCTATAATTTTGTGTACTCCTCAGATATTTCTCAGCTGCTTATTATATGTTAGGCCTCTGAATTAGACTCCACTGCCCTTGACAGGTTTGTGATAAGGGGAGAGAGGTGAGCTTTCTGACTGTGTATTAGGCCAGTGAGATTAGTGAGGTGCCTGAGGCTGCCTGAGGTGGGCTGGGAGGTGAAGCTGAAAACTGATAGAAAATCCAGAGCAGAAGATGCTAGGGAGGTGGAGCCATAGTGGGCAGTGTGACTCAGGAGGCCTGGAGTTTGTGGGTTGTATGTGAGGGAGAGCAGACTACAAAGGGCTTTCAGACTTTGTTTTGTAAAGCTATTCCCATTTTTAAAAAATCTTTGTTTTATTTATTTGTTGTTTTTTTTTTAATATGGTGTTGAGGATCAAACCCAATGTCTCATGCATGTGAGGTGAGAGCTCAACCACACTGAGTTACAACCCAGCCACCATTTTATTGTCTTGTTTTCATAATACTGATTCCAAGTGCATGCTCTCCTGAGCTCTTCCCCCTGCTGAGTTAGGAAGACTGCAATATTTCTATTTATAGGTCATACTGTGGGGAACACTTCATGTATACCCTTTTTCTTTCTCTCATTTTACTTTTTTAGCATAAATTTCTGGGAATGAACATCTTTTGAGCTCTTGACTAAACAATACCTTTTTACTTTCCAAATAAAATCTTAGTAGTGAAAAAGTAAAAGATTCATAACTATAAATGTTTATTATTTTTCTAAAGATAATACAGGAAGGGCTGGGGATGTGGCTCAAGTGGTAATGCACTTGCCTGGCATGTGCAGGGCACTGGGTTTGATCCTCAGCACCACATAAAAATAAAATAAAGATGTTGTGTCCACCAAAAACTGAAAAATAAATATAAAAAAAAAATTCTCTCTCTCTCTCTCTCTTCTCTTCTCTTAAAAAAAAAGATAATACAAGAAAACTTCTATATTGAGATTTTCCCTTTCCCTCAAAATTAATTATGCAAACAAAAACAGTCTTAAAAAAAAAAAAAACCTTCTAGGAAGTAGACAAGGAAAGAGGAAGAGTTATATGCCTCCAATGTTGGAAAGTATGCCAAAGAAAGAGACAAAAATTCTGGGTGGACTGACAGCACACGTGGCTCTGTTCCCTCTGCCCCAATTTAGGTAAACTGAGGAAAGATGGTAAATTGACCAAATTCTGGGAAATATTAATTTTCTCTAATTTGTATAGAATGGACTGATAGAGAAGCCCCTCCACATTGCCCTCTCTTTAGCAGGCTAAGTTGAAGGAAAGAGCTCAGGGATAAAACACTTCTGAATGTGTGGTGAGGCCATTGTCACACACTAAACTCTTAGCAGGGGTGAGATGGTCTGAGATGCAGAGGTGGCCCACACACATAATGAGCGTTCTGGAAGCAGATACTGTAATAAGATTTATTAGGGATCAATATGTGCAAAAAGTAGGACAGGAAGAAGCAGAAGTGGGTGGAGGAAGAAGTCAAATTGTGATGCAGGCCTGACAGAGCCTTGGCCAACCTGGCAGGGAGTTCTGGATGACAGTTGCCCATCAGACCTGTCCTGCCTGAGCTGAGGTAGCCTGGCCTTTATACTCTCATCTCACTTAGTCATTGAATGTGACTACACATTCAGTGAGAAGTGTGTAACTTCAGGTGAGGTGAGTCTCTAGCTCTAGCAGAACCTAAAGATGAACAGTGTCTGTCTCTGCAGACATAGAAGGAGAATTAAAATTGTAGCTTTAAAGAGAAGTTAGCTAATTCGTCCATAATATATTAGAACTCTGAGTCTAGAGGAATTGCCTAGGCTGACCTTGAGCAGGACAGAAAGAAATGACATGGTAAGTGTACTAACATATTGTAACCACCCCCATAAAGGACTGGGGGAACAAAAAGAAAAGGCTACAGTCACTCTTTTTTTTTTTTATGTTTTTCTTTTTTTTTAATTTTCTTTTTATTATTGGTAATGTTTTGAACTACCAACAATAAAAAAAAAAATTTTTAAAAAAAGAGCCTGCCTCCTGCACTCTTATTCCTTCTCTGCATGATACATCTGCCCAGCCTTGCCTGTATCTTCACCCTCTTTCTTTCTACCTAAACCTTCCTGTCAACATTTAAACATGTCCCTTGATCTTTAAAAAAAAAAAAAAGAACGACAACAACTAAAAAAAAATCCTCCCTGGATTTTTACTTTGATCTCTCAGCTGCTATTTCCCCTGTTCTTTATTGCCAACCTTCTCCAGAGTTGTTTATGCTTCTCTCTGCCTCTCCCACTTGTTAACTCATACTCATTATCTATCCTAAGCATCCCTACTTGACCTGGCTGAGAACTGCTCAGCTCTAACAGCAGCCATGGGGCAGCCTTCCCAGGCTCAGGCCAGGTCAGGGCCGGTATGAAATCCTCCCACTGATCTAGCACATCTCTCCATCAAAGTCATTTTAACAAATGTATCATTGGCTATACCAGATGTTCCACCAGGGTGTGTTCTTCCCTAGCACTGGCAAGGCACAGGGTAGGTGCTCAATATATGTTTGCTAAATGACTGAAGGTTGAAGACTAGGCCTGTGATGGGCTATGGAAAATTTAAAAAAAAAGAAAAAAAAAAAAGAGTGACTGTAGCCTACCAAAATACTGATGTATTCATCCTGGCAGAGAATGTATCTCTAAGGAAGAGAGACAGAATCTCTGTATATGGTTGGTCCAAGAAAATAATTAGAAATTTTGATCTGATAAACAATGAGGTAAAAAGGAAATTGAAGAACTAAAAGAAAACTCTGCAAACTAAATCTCACTATTATAAATTCAAAAACCCAAATGGCAAGGAGCAGAATGAATTTGACCAAAATGAACAAAGTGAATGCAGTGAAGAACTCAAAAGCATTGAAAGATGATAGAGGTGGAGAACAGGGATTGGGATTTGGTGTAAGGACAAGTAGTGCCCCCAGTGAAAAGACTTAGGCAATGGAACAGGAGGAGCAATCCTCCTAATGTCCAATATAAGATAGTATCTGTAAATGTAGTAAAAATTGAATCTTCAGATTCCAAGTGTACAGTAGATACCAAGAGAAATTAATATATTGCAAGCCATATCAAATACATCCTGGTTAATCATCTACTGAAAGGATAAAGATTATTTTGGTTTCTAAGCTGAATAAGTAATTATTGTCTTCATGGGATAAAAAATTAGGCTCATTTTAGATTTCTTTATAACTTCAGTCAATGCAGTTGGGATAATGTATATGTCTGTCCAGTTCCTCAGGAAAAAAATATGTGGCCTAAGATATCTAGCCAAGTTGTTTGTAATTACAGAGATAATAAATTATAAACAGATTTATAAAATAGATTATAAACAGGAGCTCCAGCTCGCATGAGTACTTCTTAAAATCTTTTCTAAAGAATCAACTTGGTACCTAGTCAGAATGGCTAATTCATAAGAAGGGATTTGTGAGGAGCACCGAGTCCATTTAAAATTGGTGTTGAGAGAAAACAACTGGGCTAAGTGTGGTTGTAGAAAAGAATGGAAATGTTATAAACCTGGAATGGTTATAGAAAATGTATGAAACAAAACTGAAAGGTAGGGAGAGGAGGAAATATTATAAAGTGAATCACTGATCTTATGTAACAATCATTTGATGTCTGTAAATGGAAACTGTAAGACCCTCAGAGGATTGGAGTGACTAGCAGAGCACAGTGATACCTGTCACCCCAGCAACTTAGAGGCTGAGGCAGAAGGCTCAAAAGTCGGAGGACAGCCTTGGCAATTAAGCAAGACCCTGTCTCAAAAAAAAAAAAAAAAAGACTTGCTTGAACTTAATGATGACCTGACCTTTTTTTCAAACCAGTGCTTTACTTTTTTGACTGGTGCTAACCAATAATAAAAAGTACCAGGCAAATTTCAGGAAAGAAAGTTATTTCTCCTGAGTAATACCTTCTGATATTTTCTGTTCTGATATGTTCTGTCTTAATCCCCTCTAAAAGTGCAAATCATAAGACACTAATAGATTATGGCCTAGAGTTTCAAAAATAATGAAATTCTTTAAGAAGCTAATAATAATTCTATTGGTAACCAAATATTTAACTGAAATTCAGGGTTTTTTTCCCCCTTCTGTTTTCTTTTTTTTTTTCCTGTAATATTCAGGCATGTGTAAAAGATAAGAAATTTTAGGAAATGGTACTATGAGTTCCATTATTATAAATTATTTGTCCCAAATGTCAACATTGGTTCATTCTTAGAGGTTGGTATTTTGGTAAATGAAGCATTCCTTCTTTATACTTTCCTGTATGATTTGAATTGCTTTTTGATATGCATGTTTTAGTAAAGCAAATCAAATCATTCTTATTTAAAAACAAGAAAATAAAAGAAAGTAAGAAATTCTGTGGCACTTTTGTAAAGACAAAAAAGCCCCCAAAGTAGAGAGAGCCTTGCAACCTGTTTGCAGTTCCCCCTGTTCCTGCTAACTCTGTTTCTCTTGGTCTGTTCTTCTCTAGGAATGTCAGAGACACCCATGCTCCCCTCCTCCCTCATGCTGCTCAATACAGCCCATGAATACTTGGGAAGAAGGTCCTGGTGCTGCAATTCAGATGGGGCTCTGCTACGATTCTATGTGCGTGGTTTCCCCAGGCCATGGGCTATTAGTACAGGGTTGGGATGGGGCTGAAGAGTACCAAGAGGAACAGAGCTGTGTTGGCTCCCTTGAGCTTGCTTGGCCTTTCCATGCAGGAGGGCCCACTGTGCCTCTTTGACTACTCTCTATATGTGTATGATTATTGAGACTTGCCAGAAAACCTGGACTTGGTTCCTATGTTAGTCAGTTTTCCATTATTGTGAGCTAATCAACTTATAAGGAGGAAAGATTTATTTTGGCTCACGGTTTCAGAGGTTTCAGTCCAGAGTCACATGGTCCCATTGCTTTTGGTCCTGTGGCAAGGCGGTAGGTACATCATGGCAAGAGCATGTAGTAGAGGAAACCTGTTCATGGCAGCTGAAAAGCAACGAGAAAGATAGGAAAAAGCTGGGGTCCTGAAATCCTCATTAAGAGCATGCCCCTGGTAGCATTTACTTCCACTAGGCCCTGCCTTCTAAAGGTTCTACCACCTTCCAATAGTGCCAATACATGGGCCTTTAGGTGACAATCAAGGTTTAAGCTATAGGACTTGGAATGTGGCTTAGGGGTAGAGTGCTTGCCTCGCAAGGCAAGGGTTTAATCGAGGCCCTGGGTTTAATCCCCAGCACCATAAAAAAAATTAAAAAAAAATTCTTTTAAAATCCAAACTATAGCAGTTCCCTTGTGCAACTGAGGCTCAGGGAACTATAGACCTGGTTTTAAATAGCAGGTGAATTTAGTTCCACTAGTTAATGCTGATTCTGTTACTAGTTGGACACAAAAGTAGGCCATAATAATTTTTTTAAAGTAGTCACTGCATTCACCATTACCACCAAAGTCCTTTAAGTCCTATTTGCCAATACCACTTGTTATGCCAGGTTATAATTGCTCAGTCAATAACTATTAATTTTTTCAGTCAATAATTCTTTAGTGAGCCTCCATAAGCAGACTTCCTTGAACTTGCCATCTGTGATTTATTGGTAGTAGCTCTCTGGGGTTACTGAGGATAAGCAGTATTAACCCCGTCCCCAAAGCTCTCTGTTGAGTGGGAGGCCTAGCAATATCAGACAAGTTACAGAGCATCAGGTATTCTGGATTTGCCAAGGGAGAGGCATCCAACCCAGTCTCTGATGTCTCTTTAAAGTTTTTTTGGGACATAGCCACATCCACTCATTTACAAATTAACTATGGCTGTGTTTGCAGTACAGTAGCAGAGTCTAGTATATATTACAAACTTTATAGCCCACAAAGCCTGAAATATTTACTGTATGGTCCTTTAAGAATTTTGCCATTGGGGCTGGGGATGTGGCTCAAGCGGTAGCGCGCTCGCCTGGCATGCATGCGGCCCGGGTTCGATCCTCAGCACCACATACCAACAAAGATGTTGTGTCCGCCGAGAACTAAAAAATAAATATTAAAAAAAAAAAAAAAAGAATTTTGCCATCCCCTGTTCTTTACCTTCTCTTCAGCAAGCATACCCTCTTTTCAGCTGTAGCCTCCCTTCATAGTATCTTCCTCCTCTGCTCTATACTCTCCCCATAGTTCATCACCTGGTATTATGCTATATAATTTGCTTCTTTATTATATTTGTTGTGAGTCTTCTCCACTGAAATGTAGCTTGTGAAAAAATAGGGAATTTTGTTAAGTTGTTTCATGACTGGATCCAAGTACCTAGTACTGTGCCTGGCACAAATTAGCTTATTTTTTTTTTTTTTTGGCGAGGGGATACCAGTGATTGAACTCAGGGGCACTTGGCCGCTGAGCCATATCCCCAGCCCTATTTTGTATTTTATTTAGAGACAGGATCTCACTGATTTGCTTAGCACCTTGCCAGCCTCCTGAGTGGTTGGGATTACATACGTGCACCACTGCTTCTGGCAATACAGAGTAGGTTCTTATTTAATAAATACGTTGAAGGAGATTAAGCATATGTACAGAGCTCATGTATGTGTAGGGCCTTTCAGTTGGCAAAAGCATCATGCTGAGGATGTGGAGACTTGGTGAGGAAACCCTCTGGCCCAGGTTCCAGCCCCAACTCCAGATGGCTGAGTGTCTACCCTACCCTGTGAGCTCCAAGGGCCTGTGTGCTCACCCTGGGATGTCTTTATGCTCCAGGATCATTTGGGGAAGATTTATGCCAGGTGGAATCTGTTTTGATACCCAGGAATTGGCCCCCTTCTTTCTTTCCTCTGTCAGTTGCCTAGTACAGGGACATTGCTTCCACAAAGTCACCTTATTCAAATTGGAAGAGTGAGTTACTTTACTACCTTTGTAGGCTGGCCTTAGGTAGGAGTGGTGCTGATAGAGAAGAGAAGGCTAAAGGGGCCAGCATGTGGTCCTATTGACAGTTTACTCAATCTCTGTCTTTTTTTGGAAGAATGTGAATTGTAGCTGCCAGTATCTGCCAGTTGAATTTAAGAGAGTAGAAGTGATATGAGTACACTTGTGTTTTGTTTATACTTCCTAATTTTTGTGCCCAGGGTCCAACTTGAGATTCCTCTCTGACTCCCCACTCTCAACCCCATGCCTTCTGCCTGCCACTCTCTCGTGGGTCACATATGACTGGCTGGTCCTTTCCTTCTTTTGAAGCAGCCTTCCCCAGTTCCTCCATTCTCTGTTGCCCCTACAGCTGGATACCTTGCTATTTTTTTGTGTTGCATGCCCCTCCCCAACTAGATTGCATCCCTGAGTCCAGGACCTTTTCTGTCTTGCTGTCTGAAGTATCCCTAGGGGTTGAGCAGTGCCTGACGTAGATTTCTGTCCCAGTGATATTTCTTCAGTGAGTGAATAAAATAGACACTTATTCATTTATCCAGAAGTGCTGCCTGAGCATTCATCATAGGTGCTGTGGAGTTTATCTCAGATTCATGGTCTGTAGGTCAAAGACTGTGTTTTGGGACCAACATCAGAGAGACCCTTTGTGTGGATTATTTTCTATTAGAGTAGAAATAGTCTGAAATTCTCTTGTATCCCATCTTTTCTGGAGTTAGCTCTCCTCCAACCCCCACCCCCGTACTTTGAATTGAATCCATGGGTGCTCTACCACTGAACTACATTTCCAGCCCTTTTTATTTTTTATTTTGAGACAGGTCCTTGGAAAAGTTGCTTAGGCTGGCCTTGAACTTGTTATCTTCCTCTCTCAGCCTCCCAAATCTCTGGGATTATAGGTGTGTACCACCATGCCTAGCTAGAGTTAGAATTTCTTATTCTATGTTCTGTTTGGGTTGAGGAATTCTTATCTATTCATCCACATCCAGCTCAGATAGCCCCTCTCCTGTGGAGCCTTTACTACTTTCTGGGGTGTTCCCTTTTATACTGTGTTCCACATACCACTACCCAGATTGTATGCATATTAATAATCTGTATTTGCTGCAAACTTGTCTTCTAATGAAAATAGAAAGTTATAGGAAAGGTAACATATTCATTTCCCTCTCTTGCTTACTTTATTAAAGTTGGTGTGTATCTTTGTAGTCCAGGTTTTTATGCTTAATTATTACGTATTTGCACATTACTAAACAACATATAGTTGCATGATTTTTAAAATTTTAAGTACAAAATATATGGTTCATAATCTCTTGCAGCTTGCTTTTATTAAGTTCAACACATAGATATCTCCACATTGATATAGATCAATGGTTTATTCATTTTAATAAGTAATGTTGGGTTATTCATTTCAGTTGCTTTATAAGATCATATATTGTGTGAGCATCTGAATTATTTTTAACTTTTTAGTATGGAAATTTCCAAACAATAAAATAGAAGTAATAGTATAGTACACTCCAAGAGGCTGAGCACTGAAAAGTAATTATTTATTTATAATACATTRCCATTCCCCCACCTATTCCCATCCCGCATTGTTTTGAAGCAAATCCTAGACATTGTATCATTTTGTCTATAAATAGATTATCATTCTCTTAATGATGATATTATGGCATTATGGATTGTGATGGCATTATATTTATCCATTTTGGAGGTTAACATCTACCAAGTTGTTTATGTGTATTTGTGAGAATTTCTCTAGTGTGGATTCCTATAAAAAGAACTACTAAGCTGGGCATGGTACCACATGGGTGTAATCCCAGCTGCTGAGGCAGGAGGATTTCGAGTTCAAAGCTAGCCTCAGCAACTCAGTGAGGCCCTAAGCAACTCAATGAGATAAGATGTAGTCTCTAAATAAAGCCTTCAACACAGATCTAAACTAAAACTCGATTTCGTTAGTGAATATAGATCCGTTTAGATTTTTTCTCAAATCAATTATATTTTCAGAATAGGGTCTACTTATTAATATAAAACTGTTCATGATGTTTGCCTATGATTTTTAAAACAAGTCTTTTCCTGAGGTCTATATTAATGTTTTCAAACTATAACCTATTCGTTCCTGGATCTATTTTTTTCTTTACTTTCTAGTTCACTAATTACCACTTTAATATTATCTATTTATATTATTATCTTTTAATTTTCTTTGGGATACTCTGTTGTTTCTTTATTGAGAACAATGCTATTTTAATACTAATTTCCTAATATATGTATTGAAGTATAATATATGTATATAAGTTTTCCCTCAATACATTTTTAGGTACATCCCAGAAATTTTTATATTTAGTGGTTGCTATTTTTATATGATTGATTTCTAAGTTTATTGAATTACATTTAGAGGATATGGTCTGTATTATCTTTTGGTATTTTATGAGTCTTGTTTTTTATCTAGTTTTGATAAAATTTCATAGATACTTGGAAAGAATGCCTGTTTACTAATAGTTCAATAGCCATAGGATCTCATATCTATAGGGACAACTTGTTTAACATATTATTCACATTCTATCTGATCCTCACAAATATTTTGTCTGAGGGAGATTCCCTCAACCCTAATGGGAATTATGTTCTTATACTTGCTTGTTTTCAATATTTAACTCCATTATCTCCATTGGAACCTTAACTTCTTAAAAACAGGACTGTGTTTCACTGCCTAGGAAAAAAAGGTGCTAAGTAAATAATTCATTTAGGAAATGTACAGCTAAATAAATGGAGTATAATATTTTCTTCTAGTAGTTGGTGGAAACTGGGTATTTGGAAAGAAGGCAGCTCAGCAAATCCAATGGGAGGAGGCTGCTGCCAGAACTGGTCCAGATAACCCCATTAGGATAACAGGTCTTTTCTAGAAAGCATGTCTTTTGGAATCAGGTCATGTAGGGACCCAACAAACATTGCCTCCTTAGGTTGAAAGAGTTTAGATCTCCCCAGGGAGATCCTTTTATGACAGGGAGGCTCTCGCAGCAGGCCACTTTTCCAGGCATCTCTTTCTACTCACCATAGGTGCAAGTTCTCCAAAAGGAACTTGCTGCCTCCACTTCTGAAGACACACACCCCTATAAGGAGGAGCTGGAGACAGCCTTGGAGCAGTGCTTCTACTGCCTGTACAGCTTCCCTAGCAAGAAGAGCAAGGCCAGGTACTTAGAGGAGCACTCAGCCCAGCAGGTAAGTCTGCCACCACAGGCCTGGGAAGGAGGCAGCTCTGATGAAGAATGAGGCTCCAGGGAAGCAGAAGCTCTTTTGAAACATGTCAGATTTGTTATACTCAGCTCCACAGTCCCAGTACAAGTTGCAAGAAGAGTACAAGAGGACCTTATGGTGTCCTTTGATTAAAGGATAAAGAGTTTCCAAAAAATGGTCTCCTCATAAATGTTGACAAATGATTCAAAAATGTAGTGTAGCAATTCTCTGTAGATTTATTTGCAACTTGGATATGAATAATTCTTTAGAGGTTTTCTTTCTCTCTCTCCTTTTTTTTTTTTTTTTAAAGCATCTTGGGTTATTAGCTCATGGTTCCTCAATACTGTCAGTTTCTCTCTAATCTTAGGAATTTTGTCCTCTAAAATATGAGTTCCTTAGGCTAGGATCTCCACTCTGGTTCCTGCCTTTAAAACTATCCAGGCTCAGAGTCAGCACTCAGTTTTCGTCAACCAAATGACTGAGGGAGCAGCTGTGGTACAGAGAGGGTCAGTGGCTGGCCCCAGGCCCCCACTTATGATAGAACCCACCCTCTGGCTGAGCCATGTGATCTCACAGAGCATAATCCTCAGTTAAAATATTTGTATTTATAAAAACTAGGCTTATACTTTTCAAACACTTGAATTTAAGGATTACACTGGGTGTGCAGATTTTAAGAAGTGTAACGGAGACTTGTTATAGACCCTTTAATATATTGTGACCTTATTTACATTGGTCATAATGCATATCTATGGAGAAACTTTTTTCTTTACTCTGAGTATAATATGAATCTGCCTTCTGTCTTTTTTCAAGGTGGATCTTATATGGGAGGATGCCCTGTTTATGTTTGAGTATTTTAAGCCCAAGACCCTTCCTGAATTTGACAGCTACAAGACCAGCACTGTATCTGCTGATTTGGCCAATCTCCTGAAAAGAATTGCTACCATTGTGCCCCGTACAGAGAGGCCAGCACTGAGCCTAGACAAAGTCTCTGCTTACATTGAGGGGATATCATCTGAGGTGGGCCTCAGTAGATACAAGGAGGTGGGGGTTATGGGGCCAGATCACATTCCTCCCCTCCAACATTGCTACCTGTATGCCCTGGTTTCTTTCCTGCTCTGCATAAGATGCCAGGGTTAGGAGAAGCCAGGGATCTGTCATGTGTTGATAGGACCAAGCAGTCCTGGGCTTATAGGGCACAGCTGAGGCCACCTCCTCTTATACTTACTCTCTTACCTGGTAGGTGCCCTGCCTCCCAGAAGGGGCTGACCCCTCTCCTCCAGTAGTAAATGAACTCTACTACCTCCTGGCTGATTATCATTTCAAAAACAAGGAGCAGTCCAAGGCCATCAAATTCTACATGCATGACATCTGCATCTGCCCTAACAGGTGGGTGATTTGGGCTAGGGCCAGGCTGGCTACCCAGAGGGTTGGGGTGACTTGTTCAGCCAGATCTTCAGGAGGCCAGTTTGGAGTTTCCCTGCTCACAACAAGGGGGCCAGGGAAAAGACATAAGAAGGTAGTTTAATGCACTACAGTTATTAGAAAAGTAGGTTCTCCATAAAAAGCATAGGACAGAAGGCTTCTTTCCCTGAAAGGGACAGGGGGGTCAGAGAAGATCCAAAGTATAATTTGGGCCTTGGTGTGTGAGACAAGGAGGTGCTGTTTTGTGCTGTTTCCTTTCTGGTTTCAGGCCCCAGGAAGTTGGGTTATATGTACCTTTAAGTGTTTCTGTTGCAGGTTCTTTAATTATGGTTGTTTTCTTGGGGTAGAGAGGGTAATAGGAAAAACTCAAACTGAAGTTCTCTTTCCTTGATGAGACTCAGGGCATCATTGGCAGTAGTGGTTGTCACCTGATACATGTTGGAGAGCTCTGTATGTGTGAGACTTGTGCTTTCTTCCCAAGAAGCCTTGCTTAACTTTCTCTTAAAATGTGATTGGCCTGAACATCCTTAAAGGCCCTGCTCTACTCATGAAGTCAAGTGCACTTGATACCTTCTCATGGCTGGCACACCTAGGAGGTAAGCCTTGTGTCACAGTTAAAATAAGACCACCCTCTGTGGCTGATCAGCCTCTGAAGGTATTATGTCTGTAGACAGGCTTCCTGGTGGTACTCAGAGGCTAGCCCACAGTAGCTGTCCTTAACTATAAGCACAAAACTGTTCTCACTTGGGAAACCTGAGAATTTCAATGGGTTCCACCTGACCAAGGGGGAGAAAGGGTTGGGATCTGAGCAGTGAAGCCAATTTGTAAGACTTCCATAGCTTATGGGAATAGTCCTTATTGGGCCCCTTTTGTTCAGTCTGTGGTTCCTTCCAGGCAAGGGACTGTGTACTTAGAGCCCTGGATATCCTCTCTGGGGGCTGTATACCATTGTAGTGGCACAGACTTCCATTAAGACTGGCTGAATGCTCACTGTGTGATACATTGTGTTACTTGGGATCATCTCCTCTGTACTGCTGCTGCCACATCTGTAAAGTATGGTAAAACCTACCAACCTTGGGGCAGCAGGCACTTTGTGTAGCTTCTCTCATGTGATAAGCCCTTAATCACTGAAATGAGAGTTGCAAAGTCTCAACCATACTTCCCTCCAATTTGCATACCACCTTATCGGAGGGTATCAACCCACTAAGACCAGTCTACCTGCTACAGAGGAGGGGTCTCTGAAAGCTGGCCCCAGAGCCAAGAAGGAACCTATCTTGGTCCCGAGCCTCAGCCCTTTGTCTTCTTCATTCTGGCCCTAACAGACAGGTGCCAGGGGAGACTTGTGGCTTCTGGTCTAACTAATGTGGAAGTTTGGGTACAGTTGGGTTTTTTTTTTTTTTTCCCTTATTAAAGTCTTCTGAGTTTGTTGGGTAGGGGTGAAGCCCATAACAGTCAGCTGGGTGGATAATAGGGTCGTGATTATAGTATTGGAGGTTCTTAACCGGAAACAGAGTCTATGAGAACAAATACTGGTAACAGTTTTTTCCTTCCTTTGTGTTGACCTTTCTTTTTGCTTTTGCTAAACTGGAGGTAGCCCAAATTGGTCAGAGCACCATTTGGGGAGGGGGAAAACAACTTATCAACTTATCTCCATTGCCAAGGAGATAACTCTGTATCCTGTGCTGGCATTAGGTCTGCCCTGCACAAGTCAGAGCTGACATTCTGCCCCCACCCCCAAGTTCACATCATTGGCCCTCAGGCCCCTCGGTGTCCCTGTAAATCAGTATTTCTAGAGTATGGGCATGTACTGCACTGCCAGGGTCAGATACTCACATCAGAAGTTGGCTCTAGGTAGAACACTTAAACATTTTCAGTTGTCATGATGATATGCTTCTGCTTTTGATTACTTTGTGATAAGAGATACTGGTTTTTATGTTGGTTCTATGTAACCACATAGGTAGTATTGTGATGTGTGGGCTCTTTTTTCAAGGTGAGGACAAATGGAATACAGAAAGCATGCTGGAAATTGAAAGAAACTGGTCCTAGTGAAGGGGAGTTTGACACCTAGCCCCACCCTCTTCCAGGGTGATATAAGCAGAGGAAGGGAAGACATGGTAGCCTTGGGTCCCCAGGTCCCTGAAGAGGAAGAGCTACTCTCAGGAGCCCCTCAAATGGAATGAGGGATGAAGCCTTTGTCTTTGCTGTCCTCCTTACCCCAGTGAGCCTTCTGTCTTTTTCTGTTTCCTTCATTAATATAGTTTCCTCCTTGGGTACTGAAGTGCAGTGAAAGTACATCTGAACTCACAAGGTTCCTTGACAACATCTTGGAGCTATGGTAAACTATTAAATAGTTCAGGAAGACAGTTAACCCTTTTTAAAGTCATAGTAGCTAACTTTAGCTGTGGTGGGCAAGAATTGTTGGAGAGTAACTTCTAACTTTCATCCTTCTAGCTCCTTTTTCTGTTGTCTATCTAGCATTCAGAAAATTACGAACTCTGTTAAGAGCCCATAAATTATCTTGGTCTTGTTGTCTTTGTAGCTGATTATCCTCGCAGAGAGGTTTCTACATTCTCACCCTTAGTTTCTTTCAGGTAGGTGATCTCAGAATAATAGGGGCTCAGCCATCACATATTCCCCCTCATTCTTTGTTTTACTGCTGGGAACTGAGCTGGAAAGGTCAGAGTCTGCTCAGGGTCCCAGAGGGAAAACAGGGAGAGGAGTGGCTGGTGACTGTGCTCCTGTTTGGTAAGTATGTTGATGCAGGCTCTGCCTGTGTAGGAGGAGGGACTATGACACCTGCTGAAAGTTTCCCCATCACTTTGACTGGGCCCTATTTTGATGCTTTGCAGAGCGCCCCTGTTTCTTTCCATGAGAGCTATTCCTCCTCAGTTCAGGGAAACAGAGGCAGCAAAGTCCAAGAGCCCATCCAGTAAAGCAGTCATTGAGTGCCTGTGAATTGTAGAAGGACTTATACATTTTATCTTTCAACAACCCGCAGCTTTTCTCCTGAGGTAGATCTTCTTAGATATATGTCATGATATAGGAACTGAGACTTTGAGACGTGGCTGGTCCAAATCATGATCTTGGGCTTTGAGCTCTAGTGTTACGGTAGTACAGTGTCCATGGTGCCTATCTGCCTACCCTCAGAGCCATCATAACTGCCCTACTATCGGGGCAATGGTGGTCTTAGCTTGTGCTTTTTTTGTCACCCACTCCAGGTTTGATTCCTGGGCAGGCATGGCTCTGGCCCGGGCCAGTCGCATTCAGGATAAGTTGAACTCCAATGAGCTGAAGAGTGATGGACCAATCTGGAAACATGCCACACCTGTCCTGAACTGCTTCAGGCGGGCCCTGGAGATCGACAGCTCTAACCTGTCCCTGTGGATTGAGTATGGCACCATGTCCTATGCCTTGCACTCATTCGCTTCACGCCAGTTGAAGCAATGGAAAGCGGAGCTGCCTCCTGAGCTTGTGCAGCAGGTGAGGACCAGCTAAGCAAAGGGGCCTTGTCATCCTTCTGTCTGACCAGAGTACCCTCAGGACTACAAAATTCTTTTCCAGACATTCTTTGTGCCTGTCTTCACATTCAAGCCAGGAGTTCAGGGGTGATTATTCCCAGGAGGCTCAAGCCATACCATACATAATGATAACTTGTCCCCTTGGTTTTTAGACACCCAATCCAGTGCAGGCAAGTTCAGGGACGGACTATTGTGACCTGACTTGTCAGTCATCAGTTTGAGAGTAGTTAATTGGTAGGGCGAGAGGTGGTAGCCACCAGAAGGAAAGTGTCTCTTCCCTTTTTCCTCAAAGGAATTTGTTGGGTCCTTATAAAATTCTTGCCCATGTGTTGGGATTTTTTAAGTCTCTTTTGGTAAGGGGCACCCTTAGTGGGAGATGCTGGGTCTAGCCTGAGGTCTGTGTTCAGCAGGGAACCCTGGCCTCCTTGAAAAGGAAGCAAAGGAACCATACTGACTTTTGGTTTTGGTTTGGTGTTTTGGTGATGCTGGGTATCAAACTCGGGGCCTTACACATGGTAAGCAGTACTCTACCACTGAACTGTATCCCCAGCCCTCAAACTGACATGTTTAGACTAGTACAGAAGTAAGGTCTGGCCCAAAAAGGTCTTCCAGGAAAGCAATGTGCTGAAAGGGAACTGCTGGTTGGATAGATGGCGCTAAGCCTTAAGTTCTGCAGTGTTCATCTTTAATCAAAACTCAAAAAAAGATGATGGCATTGTCAACACTATCATGGGATTGTTGGAGGACTGAATGAGACTCTCAGCCCACAGTTGTGCCACTGAGATCCTCTGAAAGCCCCTCTGCCCTGGAGGATGAGCTTTTGTCATTGTGCCCGACATTCTGAGACTGTAAGTGACATGCCACAATTGCCGTTGGCCTGGTTCTTCCCTCTGGCGATAGCAGCCCCAGCCCTCTACTCTTTCCCCTTTGCAGGTACAAATCCTTACTGCAGCCACATAGATCATAGATAGGAACCTTAGAGGGGGTCAGTGGGTACTTCACAAATTCATAAACTGTTAAGAGCTGCAGGGGGAGGGCATAAGAAAGGACCTTACACTGATGAGAGGCACCCTTAATTTAAGTCCAGTTCTGCACCTTACTTTATGTGTACTTGTGCGGAATCCTCAGGGCTCTTCATGTCTCATTATCATCAGCTGGGAAATGCTGACAACAGTCTGATCTCAGGGTTGTTGAGAGGAATATAAATTTTGTCAACAAATCAACTGAATTAATATTGGAAAAAGCATGATTCCTGGGTAGGTTCAATCCTTGTGCCTAATTCCTATGCTCTTGGGACTTGTTACAGATGGAGGGCCGGAGAGACAGCATGCTGGAGACAGCCAGGCACTGTTTCACATCGGCAGCTCACTGTGAGGGCGATGGTGATGAAGAGGAATGGCTCATCCATTATATGCTAGGCAAGGTGGCTGAGAAGCAGCAGCAACCACCAGCCGTCTATCTGCTGCACTATAGGCAGGCTAGCCACTATCTGCATGAGGAAGCTGCCCGCTATCCCAAGAAGATCCACTACCACAACCCACCTGAGCTGGCCATGGAGGCCCTGGAGGTGACACCATGTTGGCCCAGGGTTGGGAGTCAGGGCAGGCATGGGCTGGTCTCTCTGTCTCCTTGGGGATGGGGCTCACAATCTCAGTGACTCTCCTGCAAACCCACTGGAAACTTCTCTGTGTTCAGCAGTTTTATGTGCAATTAAATTAAAGCAGCCTTTCTTCTCTTTTTCTAAGGGTGCTTACCATCCTTTCTGGAAGAACGTGCGATTGTTCTCATCTCTCAGGAAAAAAAAAAATCCTTTCTCATTAGCACCCACAGGTTTGAAGAGTTTGACCTTGGTGATGACAGTCAGTAAAGTTCAATGTCTTCTGGTGCCAAGGGGGAGTATAGCCCGGCAGGGGGAGTACAGACACTCTGTCTTCCAGGTGCATATGAGACATCCAAGGCCCAGTGAGGTCCCAGCCTATGTCTGGGATACCCAGCTTGGCAAGGTTGAGCCAGGGTGAACAGCCTGCTCTTTACCCCAGATTTGTTTTTTTCTCACTGCTTCTCAAGAGAAAATCAGTTTTTGTTTTTGAACTGCTGGGATTTTCTTTTTTGATTTCCAGTGTACCTCTGATGAATGCTCTTACTGTTTCTCGTGGTAGTCCTAAGGGGCAGGCCAGGCAGCTGTGACCAGTGCATTTTGTAGGGGAGGAAACCAAAGATGTGGGTGGAGATCCAGACATGCTTGGCTTAACCCAGGATTCAAACTTCCCCTGAACATGTTAGCTTTGCCCTTCCTGAGACTGCTAACATGCCCAGCAAGTTTTTTAGAATTAAGGTAGAATTTACTGCTTACTAATCCTTTTTCTACCTTCATGTGTTTTTCCCCCATGATAAAATTAACATGTAGTCATACTTTTATTTTCTTTTTAAAGGGAATCAGACAATTCACAAGTATATAAAACATGAAAGTCCCCAGTGATATTAACACCTGCCCCATTTTAATAATCCCTATTAACAGTTTGGACATGTCCCTGTATGTCCTATTTTTTTTTTTAATCAATATGTAGGTAGATACTTAGTAACATTTTCTGAGTTCCTTGGACAAGATGTAGTTGAAGGTATGGTGAGATTCCCTGCCTGTTTTAGTGCCCCATGGTTGGGTTGGGCATTTGTTTATCTATTCAGTGCCTTCTTAATGGGTTTGGCTTCCCCTCCACTTCTTAGGACATGTTCCTGTACTTGTATTAGAGAGCACTTAATGAATATTTTCAAGGGCTAAAGTTCAAAGGTGGAATTGCTGGGTCTTTTAACATTTTGAGCAACAGTGTCCAGTTATCCTGACAGGTTATACTGATTGATGAACTTGTTTTTCTCCCCAGTCATGCTAGAACTTGCTTTTTACACAATTGCTAATCCTGTGAGCAGACAAAAAAGTCCTAATTTTTAAAAGTTGCTGTGAAGTGTTTATATAGTGGCTATTAGGAGGCCAGATATTCTTAAGTAAAGCTTCCTATTGAATGCTTTTTCAGCAGTGGCCAACTTCTTCCCTCTTCACTGTACTTTTATACGATCTACTAGGCACTGAGTGCTTTGGAGGAACTGTAACTTTGCAGATGAGAAGGCTGAGGTCCAGGGAAGAAATATGACTCACCCTAAATTACCAGCAGGAGAGAAAGGGAGCTGGGCCAGATCCCACCAGGCCTATAACTGATATGTGACACCTCTGGGCAGAACTGACCCTGGCTAGAGTGGAGGTGGAGGGTGGGGGAAAGTGACCTGGATTTCACAAAGATAATATCAACTCTCCATGGTTTTCCTCCATGGTATTTTCTTTTGAGTTTTAGACTCTGCTCCTGTCTAGTAGAGCCAGTGACCAAGCAGGATGATGGCCTCAGGGTGCCCAGGGACTTCTAAATGAGGAATTAAGGCCTCAGTTATATGGACCACCCTTCTCCAGTACACTGTGCTGGCTTGAAGGATTGCAGGTGCAGAGTTCATTCCAGGGGCATTCCAGTGTATCTGTAACTTTGAATCCGTTGATGCATGTGTATATCTTGTTTTATAAATGACATTTCTGTGAAGAACTTAACCCTGCTCTGTTGAAAATGAAATGCCTTGGTTCCTCTGATATGGAACCTTGATTCAAAAACTTTACTTGCCTCTTAAACACTTTGCTCTCCTCCAAGTTTGGCCACCTAGATATTTATGGATGGTTTCCTACAATTAAAAATGGAGTTGCTGAGCCAATTTCTCTAGAATCCATAGGCTAGAAGTGGATCACTCTGGGTGTGAGCCCTCTCTGTCTGGTATGCCCCCTTGAGAATGCTTCCTGGGCCTGGACCAGCAGACGCTTGTCACCTAAGTGAAAACCATCTTTGGTATATGCAAAAGCCTGCTAGTCAGGGTCTGAGGTGCCAGCAGTTCTCAGGCCCTGGGATATCCATGCTACAGATATGCTGTCTGTAGCATGTACTACAGGCAGGAGCCACATTATACCCACATTATCAAGCTGTCTGTGGAGGTGTGTCTGCTTGTGGTGTATCATTTATGTAGGAGCAGCAGAGGGCAGAAGACAGGACAGACCTGGGTTTTACCTGGCTGTGAGCTTTCCTAGCTGTGGGACTTTAGGCAACTGATTTCACCTATTTGTAAATTGAGGAATGTAGTAGAAAGCACAGAACCTTATCTGATTCATTGTTCTGCCTGCTTACCTGTCTGAATCCTACAGGCGAAGGTTCTTGAGAACTATGAAGACCTTGCTCTTCCCTGGGGCTGGATTACAGATAGGAAATCCTACCTAGTCTTTGCCTTAGGGCATGCATAGTTCAGTGTAAAGACAGATATATAGTCTCAGTTTCTGTGGGAGCCAGGAAAGGGGCACAAAGGATCAGTGGCATCACAGTAGGAGGCAGTGCCCAGTGAATGGAGCCAAGGTCCTTACTCTTATCTCACCACCACAAGGCTGGATTACTAGGTAAACATTTAAGCTGAAATGCTGACAGTATTCATTTTAATTTTTTAATTCATTTAATTTTTAATTTTGAATTAGTTATGGATTTGGCTGGCTTAAAGGTAACCAAAACAGGGGAGTGTGTGGTGGCCTGTCATCACAGGCAGGGACCCACTTCCAGTGTGGCTGCTAGCTATAGTTATAGCACTGGGAAGGCTGCTTACACCAGAAGTGTTGTTCTAGGTGTACTTCCGGCTCCATGCTTCCATCCTGAAGCTCCTGGGAAAACCCGATTCTGGGGTTGGTGCAGAGGTCCTGGTCAACTTTATGAAGGAAGCAGCGGAAGGACCCTTTGCCAGGGGTGAGGAGAAGAATACACCCAAAGCTTCAGAGAAGTGAGTAGCATGCTTGTGGTAATCCCACATGCCTCATTTACTACAGTATAGTGTTCAGAATGTGGCTACTGGGTAAACTGGAACTCAGAGTCTCTGGAACCTGCCTGGAAACTCTAATTGCTGGGCCAAAATCATCCTGTTGAATGTGAGAGAGAAGGTTAGTGTGTGGTCCTCAGCTCCTCCTCCTGTGGCCATGACACCTGGTGTCACCCCACCCTTGGGTGCATGTCCTAAAGTGAAGCTGGCACCTTCCCTTCCACTCCACTGAAGTACAGCTCTGTTTTATGCAGAGCATTGTAGAAGGCCAGTTTTCACTTTGTAGATGCTTACCCCACCCCCTATCCTTTTCTGGGGTCCTCCCAAGGATGGGTTACCTTTGAGGCCTGGTGTACTGCCTGTTCTCAGAAACAGTGAGGGCCATGAGAGGCATGGGTCCTTCCTGCAGTGTCAGAGAGCTCAAGGAAGCTGGTGCCCTGGCATGGTCCAGTGTCCCACCCTGGTACTTCTCTTAACTCATTTCATCTCTGGGGCCCCTGCCTGAGCCCTGCTCCCAGGTCCAGTCCCTGAGGGCCTTATGTTCATGGCCACAGGTAGACACATGACAGAGAGAATTTGCTACAAATAGTCCACAGAGGCAGTATCCCTCAGCTTATTGAAAAGATAAGCACCCAGGTGGTGTGTTACTTGGGTAGGTTCAGTGTTCTCAGAAATTACATAAATATAAAGAGCCCCCAGGGTATAATGAAGTTGTCTTTCATTGACCATAATTCTGTTATAATAGTTTTTAATTATACAAATAATATGTGACTGACCATATTCTAGTTATAAGAAATTTAGGTACATATAAATAGAGTTAGACACTATTGACAGTTTAATTTCCCAGATCATTTTCTTTAATTTGTATATGCTTATGTTCACACATAGAATTAAGGGTTTTCTTTATCTCTTCAAAATAAATTATTGAAGGTGTTGCTCCAGAGTTTGCTTTTTCCCTCAATGATGGGCCTTGGCCACAGTCTGTAAAGATGATAATCTTTTCACACATTCTTTCTTTTATATATATATATTTAGTTGTACTTGGACATAATACCTTTATTTCACTTATTTATTTTTATGTGGTACTGAGGATCAAACCCAGGGTCTCGCACGTGTGAGGCGAGTGCGCTACCAATGAGCCACAACCCCAGCCCCTCACCACATTTTTTCTATTCCATATTTATTATTGCATAGTACAGATATTCCTGGTTTTATGTAACCATTCCATGGTTACATGGAGGGTGTGTCTACTTTTTTTTTATCCATGTTGCAGTAGATGTACTTGTATGAGTGTGAGCCTATAGTAAAATGATGTATTTCTGTCTACCCACTTGTCAGGGATTAGATCTGTTGGGTTATCACATAGAAGTGCACTGACTTGGTATGAAGGGATGTTGGGTGCTTCTGAGGAGAGGCTTGTCAGCTTCCCTAAAGAGACTACTGGGCTCTGAGATCCAGAGATGCCTCAGAGTCTGGGCCAAAAAGTTTGAGTTGCCATCCATTTAGGGGCTGGAGCTATCCGGGTGCTGTCAAAATAGCTTTACATGAGAGCAGCATACTCTGGGAAGGATACTGACCCACAGTGGCACATGTCCATTTCACTGTGATATGGAGGCTCTAACCTGTGCCCCAACCCTCTGTCCCCACAGGGAGAAGGCCTGCCTGGTGGATGAGGACTCCCACTCTTCAGCTGGGACACTGCCGGGCCCCGGAGCCTCCCTCCCCTCTTCCTCTGGCCCAGGTCTGACATCCCCACCTTACACAGCCACTCCGATTGACCACGATTACGTCAAATGTAAAAAACCCCACCAGCAGGCGACGCCGGACGGTATAGTCCCTGTTCTCCCTACTGCCAGCCCAGGGCGGCACGCCAATCATGGGGAGGGTGCTCAAGCGACTTTATTTTGTCGCTTTGTTTTGGTGAGGGGGGGGTGTTGGGTCTGGGGTGACACGGGCAATGTTGCGGCTGTTCATTAACTTCATGGACTCACGGTGATTCTTGTGCTTCCAAGACATGCTCAGGGTCGCCACCTGCTAGCTTGCCCACCTGGGAGCCAGTGTAAGGGTCAGGCTGGACTTAAGTGCCTCACTTGTTTGAGCCTGCATTTTCTCACTTGCAAAATGAGTGTGCTGACATCTCCTTTGTGGGGCATTTGGAAGACATGTCTTTGGTGAGGCCTGCACCATTCAGTTGCATGTTATATCTCTGTCCTGACCATCACAGGAAGGTGGTGACTAATTAAATCTTTCACCCTGGGGTATTCAGACAGGATGTTGATGGAGGTCATCTGGGATCATGTGCAAGGCCATCCCATGTGGAATGGGGCAGGTGGCGACTATTCAATCACATTTCTTACTAACATTAGGAGGCTTGCATGCTTGCATGTAGCTTTATTTCTTCATGTTCTCCTCACCTTTACAGTGACAAGATGGGATAAACCAAACTGGTGAATTTAGAGAACCATTAAAGTGAACCCCTGAGAAGATAGTGACAATGCTGAAAGATACCTAGGCCCTCACTCCATTGTGGCTCATCTTATCCAGGCTGTGGGGAAACAGGCCTTGCTCTACTTTCCCCAAGGTGATGGGAAACCCCTAGGTGGGTAGGATTGGGCTTTGCCTCCTGCCAGGTAGCCTTTGTAGAGCAATTTCTCAGAGGAAGGATGGGCCTTCTGGGCACCACGATAGCCGTAAAGTTGAGGTCCAGTTCAGGTCTGGGTAGAGGGGAGCCAGGAAGGCATACTGCCTTGGCTCCAGTGCTCTGCTGGGGCCCTGTCCAGTGTGTACAGGTTCCTGGAGAACATGGGCATATGCCCCAGCTTGCTGAGCCAAAAGATCATCAAAAGCACTGGTGAGAGATGACAAGATGGCCAAGGCTTAGCTTCTCCAAGGGTGGGATTTAGTTATCTCCTGAGAGGACAGAAGACTTACAGCGTCCCTTCCTGGATTTGGCTCTGTAGCATGTGTGTTGAGAGAGAAGCAGTGTATCTGTGTGTGTGCTGCATGTCTCTGACTTCTCTTAATGGGATTGTGTCCTTACCCTGTCCTAGCATTGGCACCTCCTTGCCCTCCCTGGAGTGTTGAGCTTGCTGCCTGTTACTCCAGTCTTCAGTTCTGTGGAAATTCCTTAAGTAAGATCCTCTCCTTCTTAATTAACTCATGTTAGCCCAGGAAACCACCCTGTTCCAATCTTTTGCTCTTGAGAGTATTGAGAAACTGCATTAGCAATAAATCCTTGCTCTGGGAGTTAGTGTCTGCCAGGTACTTCTTGTGAGGATTTAGCACCATGCCAAGTTTTCAGGAAAGAGAACATGCCATGTGGCTCCACTCCTGTGTTCCTGGGTAGAAAGCTCCCGCACCAGCTGTGCATCTTCCCACCCAGCTCAGGCCATAGGCATCATAGGGCTTGGCTGCTTGGCTGTCAGTGCATCTCAGAAGAGGAACCATGTCACCACCTGGCACCAACTACCTAGCTGCCCATGCAGGTACATAAGTGTGCATAGAGTTGGGAAGGCAAGTAGGCACTGGGCATGACACATTCAGGATGGCAACATAACTATAGAACCAATTCTATAAGCTTGCAGATGGAGCCATATAAATAAATTCAAATATGCTTTCAGTGGTTTCAAAGTGATTCCTATCAGCAGTGTGGAACCATTGGTATTTCATGGCCCATTTTTGTCCAGTCCCACCCCAGTATGTGGAGCAGCACAGTGCTTTTCTCCCTCACCTCTAAGAGAAAACAATGTAACAGAAAAATATTCAGAGCCCTAAAATAGCTGTGATTTTCAAATGCCACAGTGGCCATTCACCAGCTTCACTAGTTCTTAGGGAAAGGCCCAGACTTTAGGCAGAAACAGCAAACTGCTGTGTCAGGGGATTTCGCAACCTCAAGAGACCACAGTGCCCATTCCTGCTTCCTGCTTCCTGACCTGGCTGGCTCTGGGAGGAAAATATATGGCTCATGCTTTCCACTTAGCTCCTCAGTCTGAGCACAGCCTCAGGTTCTCCCTGAAAGAACAAGGGCATTAGCACTCATTGCAATTCATAGCCAAGCCCAAGCCCTCCCCCTGCAAGGAGAGTGATGGGTGCTTCTACTCCTGATACTACTGGGTTCAGAGAACTGCTTGAGTTCAGACAGGAAGGCAAGGACAGAGCAGATGTCTGACCTGGAGTCAGACATCTGGCTTCCAATCCTAGTTCCATTGCTTACATGCTTAGCAACCTTGGACAAGGGCCTGCATTTCTCTGAGCTAGTTTTTCCTTATAAAATGGAGTATATTTGCCTCATGGGTATTAAACAAAAGTACTTGTTTACTCTTGTCCAGGTTCTTAGTGATGTTGGGATGAGAACTGGGTAGAATCACATAGAGGGAAGAGCCTGGGCTCTAGAACTCTTCACCCTACATCTCCAGCCAGTGGTATGACTTCAAAAAAGGTTAGGCACTGTCATCTGAAACAGCAGTTCTGCATGGGCCTGGGCATTGGGCTTCCTGAGTTCCAGTCTCCTGCCTCCTGGAGGCTTCTTAGGCTAATTAATTTCCCACCAGCGGGAAAAGGGAGCCAAGCATCAGGACTGGCTTTGAGGGTAGTTAGGAGACACCATTAAGGTTGCCTCCCCACTTTGGTACTCTTTTGATTCAAAAGCAGAAATCAGCTGGATTCAACTGATTTGATGTAAGGTATAGTAAAGATTTAGAAAAATGGTTCCAGGTATATATAGGTAACTTGACGTTTGGTAATAGCTGCTTCATAGGATCCAGGTTCTCTGCTAGGGTTGGAAGCTTCCTGCAGCCCCTCCACAGCTTGGTGAAAGCCTTTAGAATTGACCCCTTAGGTCATCTTGAGACCACCACAGCCAACTTTCATTGCCAGCCCTTCTCATGACAGTCAGGAGGGGCCCTCTGGCCAAGCTGAGAGAAGAGACAAGCCAGAGAAGGTTGTCCTTCCCACCTAATTAACTTCTGCCTTTCATCAGTCTCTTGGGATTGATCCACAGTGCTGAAATACTTCATGTTGAAACCTCTAGTCAGGACTAGGAAGCTAACTAGAAGAAAAAAGTGACATGAGGAGAGTAGTGTGACCTTTAAGGGACTCCCAGTGATTGTTATTTACATATGTCAAACAGAGGGTAAGGAGATGTTTAAAAGAAACCTTTGTCCCTCTCCTACATGCGGTGTTGGTGTGCAAGTGTATGTGTATGTGCATGTATGTATGTAAGTAATTAGGCCCCTCCACAAGCACTGTGCTTACCCTGTGCCAGATTTCAAGCAGGTGCCTGCAGGATTGTAGCATATCTCCATCTTGACATCCACACTGCAGGCTTGGTTGTGTCTTTGTATCTCTGAGAGGAAATCAACTGAGGGCAGACACACATTTAAGACTCAACACTAGTTGGGGCAAAGCTGAAAAGAGTGCAAGCTCTGAGTCTCATACCGAGGCCAGACATGAAGCTAATACAAGGAAGTCCCTGTGCCAGGCTGACCTGAGTGATTCCATCTGAATGTGTTTTCTTACTTGGAGGTACCTTAGAGGAGGGCCTAGGTTAGCAGGGTTGTTCCAGGATGGTTTGGTCCTTCACTTTGTCTGGCTTAGCTAGCCGTTGGGATATGTAGCAGCTCTGTTGAACTGAGACCCTCTGCCTGTCTTACTCTATGTCACTTCAGAATGCCACTTCAAGGAAATACCTCAGAGGTCAGAGGCCTTGCCCTTCTCTGTGGTTCTTTGGCCAGAATATGGTCACATCCATCCAGGTATTCTATCAGCACTATGCCAGGTACACAGGATACAGGTCACATTAGTCAATTAAACAGCCAAGGGTTGGGATACAACCAAAGTTAGCCACAAAGAGGTAAGTTTGCCTGTCCCAGAGAGGCCTGGCCTGGTCAGGGGTACAAGGCCTTCTTGAGGAGTCAAAGGAGCCAATATCTGAGGGGTGCATTGGTTTACTGTGAAGGGCCTGGGGAGAAAGGACAAGAGTGGGAGACTTGGTCTGATATTCATGGTGTAGATGATGCACCCCACCCAGCCCCACTGACAACATGAACACAACTGCCAAAGACCCTCTGAAGTTGTCCTGTGCCCCCCAGGTTGTAGGGTGTGGGCCTTCTGAAGAGTCCTGGGTACCATAGCCAAACTCCCTTCACGGCCATTCATCCTCACCCACCATGTTGTTACCGTCTGTTGTGTGCCATCTGTGCTCATCTTCACCTGTTCACCCCATACTGCCTTCACCAATATTGCCCGTGCTGCCCCTAACCCTGACCACACTCTGTACTCCAGGCTTTGTCTTTCTGCTTGCACCTGTCACGGCTCGCTTCAGGGAACAGCGCAGACCGCATGCTCAGCCCTTAGTCCGGCTCCCTGCTTCCCGTATGACCAGAAGCACCTTCATATTCACTGGTCCTGTGATTTGGAGAGTGTGCATTTGATGTGCTTGGCTTCTGTTGATGGCCCGTCTTCCCAGTTCTGGCTGGATGCAGAGGCAATTGTGGCCTCTACCTGACTCCTCACCTATCCACCTGCTGAGCAGGTGGCTTAGTCCTATATTTCCATTGCTTTGTTCTTTCTTGTTTTATAAAAAAAAAAATTATAATAACAACAAAGGCAACAGACTCTAAAATACCAAATTCAAAACACTCTGTGCCTATAGTTCATGGAGACCAGGCTGCAGAGACCAGGAGCTGCAAAATGCTCTCAGTCCTGAAAGGGTAGGCCTGTCCTGGTCTCTGCCCAGCAACCTCCCTTCCTAGGGTCAAGGGTAGGTCAGTTTCTGGTAAGAACACTGCCCTCCTTCTCAAAGTGGGAGATAATCCCAGGGAAACTCAGGCTGTCCTGCTTATTCCCCACACTGTGAAGACTGGGAAAGCTGTCAGAGAACAGAGCCAATTGCCCTTTGGTCTCCTCTTATTCTTACCTTTCTGAAAATACCTTTCTGAAAACCCCTTCAGGCCATAGCAGGTTATGGCATTTGTTAAGCAGCTGCTGTATGCCAGGCATAGAAGAGGGCACTGTGGAGAAAGCCAAGGTGAGGGCACCCTTATCTATCCTGCCAGGTTGGATCTTCAAGTCTCTACATTTTTCTTGGGGCACTGGTTGTACCAGCAGATGGCAGGAGTAAGTTCTGGGGTTCACAGGTTGAGAGGACTTCCTGGAGGAAAGATCTATATGTAGAAGTCTATAGGCAGTGGGAACAAAAACATGGAAGTTGAGAGTCTTTCAGTGTCTGGACACTATGATAACTAGAATGGGTGAAAAAGAGACTGTGAGGAGAGAGTTTGAGAAAGCAGCTGAGCTCTGAGGGATGGAACTTCTTCCTGAGGGTGGTAGAAGAATGATGCAATCACAGGGCCTTTCTTTGTCTCAACAACAAGCAGACTCTGCAAACATTCATCAGAAGAGCATTCCTGGGAAGCTCACCAGATGACTGGGGCACTGGCTCACCTGATATAGCTATTCCTCTGCTCCTCTGCCATTTGTGACCAGAGCAGGCTGCCCATCTTCCTTGGTTAGGAAAACCTGTAAAGCCTGCCAAGGCCTCCCTGGTCAAAGTCTCCCCTGGCTTGAGGTACAGGTTGAAAGAGACAGTGGGGCTGTCTTCTGACCATGCCCCCAACATCAGGCTCCAAGCAGGCCAACACCACTGTCTGAATGTGTCCAGGTACCTGGGCTACTCTGTCAGCCCACAAGCACTGGCGCAGAGAGGTTGGAGTGCAGCCTGGCCTCCACAATAATGCCTTCCTGCCCACCTGCTGCCTGCCATGTGTCTGCCTCTGTCTCAGGGCTCCTGGGTTTTTGATGTCTGTTCTCTTTGGCATCTGTTCAGTCTCCTCAGCTTGCCATGGGTACTTCCATTCCACATAGCCAGCCCTGCTCCTGGTAGCTGTCTCCTTTCCTGCTGGCTGGCTGGCTGGCTGGCTGGCAGGGACCTACTGCAATAGGTTTTATTCAGTTGAAAATTTCTTAAAATATTGATTCCACCTGAGTTTATGGTTTTTAAAAACCCATTGTTTTCTAGTTGGCAGGACATCTGTGATCTTTTTAGTGTTCACTAGTCAGAGTCACTGCAGTCTCTGATGGTACAACTACACATTTTTTTCAGACTCTAATTGACCTGAGGTTATAGAATCAA